TACTCAGACCGCCCGTCCTCAGGTTTGTGGAAAATACATTCCTCAGCCACTTTTCGTTCATTGAAAGGGTAGAAAGGAATAGTTCCAATTATTTTAAAAATGTTGAATGGTAGAAAACATTCAGCCTTTCATTTTAAAAAGTGAAAATAAAACACGGTAAAACCTGCGTTTAGAGGGAAAAAGTGAAATAACGTGTGATTGTGTGCGCTGAGGTGAGTTCTACCTAATAGACATATCACTTGTAACAACTGACAAACCAATTATTGTACCATCACAACTAATATTATCTTCATTATTCATACTTTAGCATTTAGAAAAAAACAACATATTGATATTCTGAGAATACACCCCAACATAATTTACATCAAATAAATAACTTTAAACACAAAGTAGATACTAATTCGTGCTGTTTAATGTAATTCGACCAGGATTTTGTCTTTGAAATTGTTAAAAGTAAACTCGATGAAATGACACAGTGTCGTCAAAAATGTTAAAAACTAAATCTGAAATTATTTATGCGTCGAAAATAAAGAAAAAATGCTGAGAAGTGAAGTAAAACCAAGTTTAACGCCATTGCTCCTCAGTCTTCTTTGTTAATATCCATTAGCATATTTTTTTTGACAATTGGGGGCGGGGGGCTAAAAAGTGATGACCGTGTGTCCCAGAAGAGACGGATTCGATATGAAATAAGAAACAACGCAGCTTTAAAGCCTTTTAATCCACTAACCAAATCGTTTTTGACAGAATTTCCACCTTCCACTGTGAAAGCCTAGTTTCACAGCCTGTTTACTGTTTTCACTTCCCTGAAATAGCCTACATTTGATTTATTACTTATTTAATTGTTCTTAATTTTTGTCAGTAAAGTAAAACATTTGCTCTGGTCTGGAGTTACTTTACAGGTGGACGCACGGTGCACTTTATTGTGACTAAATAATTAAAGAATTCCGCTAAAAAGCGGCAGCGAGCGTGGAAAATGTTTAGCTGTTTATTGAAGAAGCATTGGGAAGAAGCCCAAACCAAGAGAAAGCAGTCAGGAATGTTGTTTTTATTGTTGTATGGAAACGCAAAAATTTCCATTGAAAGTCCAGGCCCGAGTATGGAAATGACCACTACGGCCCTCAGAGAAGTCAGGCAGGCCGCACCTCGCATTACTAAGTTTAATTAAAAAAATAAACATCATGTTATGGTCATGACAGAATTATTCCATAATATAAGATTCTGTAACAATTTAGAATTTTAGAAACAACTTTTGTTGGATGATACAATTGATCTGGGCCTGCTTTATTTGTACAGAGCAAAGCTCAGACAGGTTTTTTCATTCATTTGCCTTTGAGCTTCATCATGATATGATTATCTTAGAGCCTATGAAATAAACAACAGGGGTTATTCATCTTTTAGGGAAACCACTTTTTAAAAATCTCACCTTT